CAGATTAGACTCATGTTAAGTAGATATAGATTTGTATTCAGAGATACAACCATTACTATGAATGTTAACAGTAAATTAACTAACAGTAAAATAACTAGAAATTATCGTACTGACAAATAAATAGTGCTCTGGAACATTCACTAGAGATGTGTTTTCCGTTGCATATGGTTTACGATTCGTGGTTACCACTTAACTTAAAAGCACTTTAGTACTGTTCCATTACTAAACTAGTGTTTTTTTTTCATAACATACACCATAAATAACTCGTAGATACGTTCATACTTACTTGTAATTATAAAAAACCTACTTTTTTCCTACTCGTAGTCAAGTATTTATTGTGATACCACTTTTTCATTTCATTTCAGTTGACATTTAATTCCACTATATATATATATATATATATATATATATATATATATATATATATATATATATATATATATATATATATATATATATATATATATATATATATCGCTTGAATAAAGTCTTTGTCTAAAAAGTATAAATGTTTGACCGTCATCAAGTAATTTCTATATTGTATAACTAGCTGTACTAAAACTTATCTAATGGCCGTATCCTTTTAACGCCTACAACACTCACATGGTCCGATTAAATTCTTCATATAGTCTATTTAGCTAAGATGAAATTTTATGATTAAATGTTCTAGTTTGGAAGATCTTGAACAATACAAGTAATGTTTATGAATTATCATAATAAGCTATCTTGTTGTTTAATATATTGGTGTAAAGTAATAATATGAAATGAAGTATACTCTACTGTATGATATTTTATAATTAAAGATAATTAGTACCCTTCTTCCATTTAGATTTCGTGTTGGTTAGCAAATAGTTATCTATGGGGTTTGTGCAAAAGTAGGTATCTTAAAAAATCCGAACTTCAATCAATTAGATCAAATAAAAGTCAAAATTGGTAAATTTTTCAAACTGCAAATCTTACTGTGGAAAACAATTTCATGAATGATTATTCCCTATAGTAATATACTAACGATTTGTGCAGAGGTAATCATCGACAAACATGGAGATTTGAATCTTCGGATTTATGTGGTAATGAGTTCATTCGTCATTTGTAGCATAATTTATATAACATTGTCGCATCTCCACCACTGAAAGATTGTAACTACTTCAATCTGTATTACCGACAAATAAAATCCATTATTTTAAATGTCTAGCTTATTTCATTTCACGTTTTACCACTTTGACAAAGTAATTCTATAAATAAACAAATGTATCAATCTTTCCGTAGATTCACTTTATTGACTGTCATCCTAGCTGATTTTGTCATATTGAAAGTTATGAATACATTCATCACTGGGTGCATTAATAATTGCCTACTTGTCATATTTTGTGTGAAACCAGTAATGCTGACTACTTCATTCACATGATTCAATGACATTGTTAGCTGTTCATGCATGTCATCATCAAATGAGTATTAATTGATTGACTGAGTATGCATCAATTGAATTTCACTACTTAACTTGTTGAAAATGTGACTGTTTTGAATGATTGTGGTTATGGTTATTATGAAGTGAGTAAATGCATAATTGGAGTATTGCTGACTAGTTGAATAAGTTGAAATCGATTGTTTTTATTAGCAGTTGACTTGATCAATCCGTGTACTATTGTTTGAAAGAAAATCGAAATTTGGTCAATTTCAGTTCATTTAGTCGACTGTGCATTTATAAATTTCCATCAACTTGTTTATTTAATTGTCTATATGCAAGGATACTTTTTAGGTTTACTAATAATGAGATCCTAATCATTGCTTTTGAGTGTTAGATTAATGAATAATAGTCCATTATATAAATCTTGTGGAGTTGCTTTCATTGAGGATGAGAATAACTTTACGAAAACATTTCCGAGTATAGAAGAGAGCAATATTGTAGGATGCGCCATCTTTTCAAACAATGTAAAACTGAATGGAATTCAGAAATCATTTTCTCCAGTCGTTTAACTTAGCTAAAATATAATTATTAATATTAGCAATAATATTTTACCTTTACACAGTCATTTACAAAAGTAACTATTACTTCACAATTGTTCTTCTACATTTACTGTGAACATTTAAATTCTTAGTACATGTAACAAGACGGTCCTTTACAGATAACATTTATTCGACCACATGAATTAATATGAATCACCAATAGTAAATGAAAGTAAAAATTAAAATAGCTAAGGGCTTAAATATCTTAAAATAGCATTCAGTCACATTCATGTATTCATAATATGGATATACAGATTGTTTTACCAAACACTATTTCATATAACGTAGGCAAATCATTTCATGTTTTTCTCGAGACATGAATCTACTGAGTTTGAAGTAGGTAGTACTGTTGGTACACACTAATAACGACACTCTAATTAGAATGTAACAACTATTTATTGCACTCTGAATTTTAAGGATTATTCATCTGATAAACGTTCCCACTTATCATCTATATAAACAATATCTTATTGTATTTGATGTTATCCACCAAATTACCTAACTCTCCTATTCATGTTTCTGAATTACTTTAGTTATCCTTATTGTTATTACTATCAATTTGTATCCCTTATTTACTGATTAATAAGCAATGAGCACATTATTTTAAACACTTTAAATCCTCTATTATATCGACATAGTTGTTACTGGGTCACAATCAAAACAATAAATGAATACCTTCTCATAACTTGTTTTTAATTTTAGTATTATGTTGATTTTATTAGGGGAAAATAATTAAGTTTAACTCGTCTTGATCAAACGTAATGGTAATGCACAAAAAGACTAACCGCTTGTCATCAATCTACCTGATGAATTTGGTCAGTAAATTGTTGTGAAATAACATTTTACTATTTGAAACTTCATTTGACATAAATTACATGGACCTACATGTTCAAAATATTCTGAAATTTCTGTTCATCAACTGTAGCACTACAGTTTTTCTCACCTTCAGTTTCGATTTAAACCGTTAAAGGATTTGAAAAATTCCACCGATCAATTTATCTTAATGTTTAATCAAGTTATTCAATCAACGCACATTTATGTTACCTTTTATTTATTCGCTAAAAACGTATGTAAAATGCCATCGTTTGTCAATCAATCAATCATTTTCAATTACAAGTCATTTAATGACTTTTGATAATCGTGTGATTTAAAGAAGTATCAAGTGCTGAGAAAAGATTTTTATTCCTAATTAAATTCGGTTAATTCAGTATCCTACCATCAGTTTAGTCATTACCTTCAGATATTGACGGTAATTAATTATATTTGTGATCGATAATTTTTAAACTGTCGTTCCGTTTCTAAAATTATCATGTAGTTTATGATCTGCTGGTGTACTACCTACTGATAGCGTTTAAAAGATCAAATGATTGTCTGGGTTTGTATGTTTTAACACAAAATCATTTTATGTATAAAGAGTATATAGGAATATTAAGTGACTTATATACCAAAGTGTTTCATCTAAAAATAACGAGAAACAATAGTATTAAAATATTCAACTTGAAATTTTAATAAAACTAAGTAGTAGGATTGTAGAAATTGCTGCTAAAATGAACAAACATTATAATCAGAATAAACTAGATTAATCGATCATTATCATATCATACAACTATACCAAATATGTGCTAATATATATATAGAGTACTATTGATAATATAAAAGTGTGTTATCTTAAATGTAGAAAAAAAAGGTTGATCAATTAAGTAACAATCCATTTTCTTTGAAGCTTATAGATAAACAAGGTCAAATTCACTTGAAATCAATGAAATAATAACTGTGAACACAATTTTTAATCTAACAGTTCAATGCACAACTAAAAACTAAAAAAACCCTTAAAATGATTCACTTTGATAAACTAGTTGATAAAAGTTAACTGATTTTTATGAAATTATAAACAATGGAATCAAGAATTTGGCTCTGAGTTTATATTTCTTTCTTTTTTTTATAGATACAAATACAACATCTGGATAAACCGTGCTTCATAATTATAATAAAATACACAATTTCTGGAATAAAGAAAACATACTTGACCAATTTATAGACTAAGCTGTTAGTAGAAAAATAGTCAAAAATCTATTTCTTCTTTACTTTAAAATTAAATGTCAGTGATTTCATTGATCATTAAAACTCTAGGCTCATAGTCGCTTGAAACGTTAACATATGAACAGTTTTCATGGATACTGATTTAAATCCTATTTACCATAACCCCTATTTTAAGATATAATATGATCAATGTGTTGAATTCATAGTATACAATATTTCCATCACTCAACACTAAGGTGGAAGCTATAATTGGCAAAGTATGAAGGCTTTATGCTGTTACCCAGCTCGTTTAATAATGTTTTTTACGGAATTTTATTATTATCAAGATATATAGTCTTATGCGCTACATTTAGAAGGAATGTATTGATGATTTTCTTTAGAAAGGAAGTCCTGGTTTTACTTCCTTCAAGTCACCACACTCATATTAACTAACATTCTCCAGGTTAATCTTAGTGACAGAATTATGGTTAGTGAAAGATACAATAGTTTAAAGCCATTATTGTATTTCATGAGGTCGCTTATTTGAACTTCTTGAGGTAATATTTATGGTTACAAGCAACTATTTTCACTATTTGGCTACCGTCTTTGTGGATTGATTTCTAAAACTAGTACAACAGTAGTATGTGAAAGTGGACGGTCAGGAAACATACCAGCTCGTACAATACACTTACGAAAAATATATTTTGGAAATCTAACTGTTTGTCCCCAGTTGACTAATGATTCTACTTCCTTGTTTTAATTAGTTTTAACTTTTAAATTGATCAGTTTGCTAAACTGATAACCAGAAATTGAATGATTTAAACCCAGTCATCGCTTCTATTCAACATTGTACTATATTACTGTTCATTTAGCCAAGGATATGGCTGACAGTACTGTTGCAAGCCTATATTACTTTTAAAGCTAGATAAATAAGTTTTATTATGTTTCAATAGAAAATCCACAGAAATTTTCTCACCCGACAAAATACAACACCTTCAAACTAATTTAACAAACTACCAAGCATATTAAAAACAAAGGTCATTATCTATTTACTTATTATGAATATTGGCATTACATACATAAAATACATTCTAAAAGGCATATTTATATGTATATGTTACATTTTTGTACAACGAGAGAATTGACTTCATGCTTTGAAGTAAAATAACAATGTCATGAGCAAAGTAGTTCAATAGTGAAGAATATTACCTTTACAAAGTACTATTATATAATGTTATACAAATACGGTTTTAGAAATTGTGTATACAAAATTCAGTATGATTTATCATCAGTATGAATACAAAAATACACGTAAGTCAAGAAAAAAATTTAACAATTATGTGAAAATAAACAATAATTGAGATAATATTATTAACAAAATTTTTGTTGATGATGATACCGACTACTATAGTACTTTATGAGAATTATTTTCAGGATTAGATTTTTGATTAATTTTACGTTTAATTAATAAAGGATTTTTGGAAGCATCTAAAGTCATCAAAGTAGGGACATTGGAGTTTTCTTTACGCTTTGTCTGAAGACTTTCACGAAACATTTCCTTTTTTTAAAAAAACGAAAAGTAAAAAAAAGGGTAAAGTACTGAATATCATTACAAACATAATATACGTTTTGTTCTATCTGTTTATAAACAATAAGTACTCTCAGTTCTCATTTAAGATCTACTTCAAAATAAAGCATTCAGTGTTAAGCGGTTACAGGAAGATTTATCTGATAGTTTTTTGTAACTATATGCTGACGAATGTATTTGATATGAAAGTCAGTTCACTCAATCTATTATTCAAGTTGATGAAAATTATGGTGCTTTAATCAACACTTATGCTAATTATACACGTGTGCGGTGGAATTAATATCACCTACAGCTATTAAAAATAACGTTATTTTAGTACCATAGTTCAACGTTTGGCTGCTTTTCTTATTTTGACCCAGTCAATATATGATTTTATTCAGAACCGCACAGAACTATCGTATAAAAACTTTGGATGAAACGAGCATTTGATATAATATACCTAGTACTGTATTCATGAATATAAACGAAAAAAACATGTTCGATTTATCAGATTAATTTTATAAAAATTAAATTAATTTCATCTTGATTTCCTGACTTACTTAATGTAGAATGTGAAGTAAATTAATAACGCCATTCTCTAGACAACATTACTGGCAATTTTATGATTAAACATAAGATTGATCCTAGTTTGTTTTTTAAATTCCGATTGGTAACTGTTACTACGAAACACATTCATAATACACCTAATTTTAATTCATTATAATATTTCAGTATAGAAGGTTTGAGTACTTTTTAAAACTACGCTCATGAATGACTAAGTGCTTTTTCTAAATCTGCTATTATTTAATGTCTTATTGTCTAGAAGATTAGCAAAATGCTTCAAACAAGGTCTCAAATATCGAACGGACTAAATAATTTTTGAAATTTAACTTCTTTCATTTACTGTATATGCTGAAAACTGATAAAACAATTCTACTTGAGCCCGTGTAGATTCATTATGCATAACAATTAGTCGATTTAAAACAACAAACAAGTAACTGATTATATTATAATACATCTTAGGCGTCCTCTCATTTCGACTTCACTCACATGTTTTCATCACTTTCTAATTTTAGGGGACATCAATCTCTTCTACATGATGGGACAAAGTATCAACTTAGTTAAATATTTCAACGTGATTAGTAGTAAAAACTAGAATTAAAGTGTTAAATTATTGATAAATCTATTTATTTATAACATCCAAACCTACTCGAAACTGATCCCATGCTTTTGTAGTGAAAAACACACTAGTTCCAAGAGGTGTGTTAGGCACATCATTATGCTGAGCCACCCAATGGTTGTTCATCACTTCTCTGATTGTAGGTCTACGATCTGGCTCTGTGAGTAATAGGCTTTTGATTAGATCTTTAGCTATTAATCAATGAAAACATGCAAATATGTTAAAAAGTAAAGGAAAACAATAAACCCCAAGTAAAATTAACTGATAGTAACAAAATGGTTAATGACATTTGTCAACTAAAAAAACACATATATCTTCAGTATTTTGTAAACGTTGTTTAGTCTAATTGTCAATACTAAATGTTTTTTTTTCAACAAAGAAATTGAAAGTTGAAAGTACGAAGCTAAAATAGTTTTAAAACATTGGAAACTGAATATTTCATTACTTAGTGTAGATAACACAGAGTAAGTATAATGATCTTTATCAGCTATTTTATTACATAAACAATGATCACATGTTTTTCAAGATTTCATGTAGATAATTTTAACAAACTTTTGAAAGCTGGAACAGGAAACAATAATTGGCTGTAGAAAATATTAACCTGAATATGTTCCAGTTTAATAATGTTAGCATAGGGAAGAAATAAACTTTAAAACACACTCTTGAGTTCAGACTTCATTTCTTTTGGATTTAAGATATCTCATAAATGTAGGTTTAATAACCTTTTACTAGGTATTGTTAGTCTGATATTTCATCCAGTCCTGTTTTAAAAACCGGGTTGTTAACCGAAAATCGTGTTTGCCGAGATATCACAATTCAGGTATTTCAAATTATATTGGTGATTTCAATTCCATCAAACCTATGTTTGATCCAAATGTGGCTAAGAATCAGCTTTGGAATTTACTCCTAGTTTTAGTCATAACTTATCTGCTCTGTTCTAAATATCAATAACGGAAAGCATACATTCTCAGAAATAATTAACCAACTTTTAAAGCCCAAGTTAAACTTAGGTGCATCGCTTTTCATTTAGTCTAGGTTTTCATCAATAGGCAGGTCGTATAATTGGTGGTTAAACACATACTAATCAAATGGTTACGGAATAACTAAAAGTGTTTGTAAACTCAACGCTGCCTAGGAAGACAAGTGGGTTGGTAGGAATGTAGTTCAAAAACTCAGGTGTATTGAAAGTTATAAGATTTGAACTTTTGCTGGGTAAAACACAATTTTAAATCTTATAGCAAATAATCTAAAGTTCAAAATTGCAATAAGGTACTTCAGTAACGTGACCAGTTATGTAGAACTACAGAACGTTGAAATTAGTGGCGTCAAATAGTAATTAGCAGAACTGAAGAGAGAATCGATCAGTTGGTTAGTTATTAACACTAATTACACAAAACATAACTCATATTTGCATTATAAAAAAACATCACGCAGTATTTAATTATCTCAAGCAATGATTAAAAGAGCTATGAAGACACCGAGTATTCACAAAACGATAGACAGTAAATAGATCTGTTTTATCGTGCTACTGAACTGCGTTGTGGTTTGACAGTTTTAAGAGTTTGTTCAAACTCCAATTTCAAAAATCAGTCACATTTAATGGGTAAATATACTTACATTTTTATCTTTACTCTCCGAAAAAATTGCTTTTGACAAGTAAAAATAAATCATTTAAGTCCTAAATAAATGTATGGATGCAGTGCATCGAGTGCAGAGGATGGTACTATGAAGGTTGCACGAATCTAACGCCTTTAGCTTTCAAGGGGTTTAATAAAAATGGTTGCGTGTGTTTTTGTCAGCAGTACTGCTCGGACGCAAACAGCTTGATAACCAAGGCCATTTCAATGGTAAATGATGCTGAAAAGTGTATTGACAAATAAGATCGGAACACATCGTACAGTACTCGCTCTGTCGACACACAAATTAATGTGAAAACACCTCGAATAGTCTCAGTAACAGCTGACTCACATCGATCAAAGGATGAAAGACCGACTTCAAAGAGTTCTGTCTTAAGTAAAAACTCAAGAAAAGAAGTTTCCTCTGCCCTCGTCCTCCAAATGGAAGTCGGCAGGAAATGCCTAAGTATCCCAATCACAAGACTAAATCTGTTTCTAGCAAGAAAAACAAACTGACTGCCCAAGTCGTCTATAGCCTTCCGGAATCCCACAGTGTGTCTGACGTGACTGTGGTTGTTACTCCAACGAAAGTTGGTGAATGGGCATATGTTGTGGCTAATTTCCTCTATATCTGACTCCAATAAATGATATCCCGTTAACTGAGTATTTAAGGTAGGCTAAATCTCCTAGTAGAATTATGGATTTACTCGAGATTATTCAGAAGCCTGAACACCAGTTGTAGAGATATTTTATTGTTAAAGATAAATAAAATCCGCAAGCGTACAGCGAGCAAGTACACTGTGAAACCACGAAAGTGTGTGTGTGAGAGTTAAAAATCCATATATATTTTTGAGTGTCAGTCAAGCGTGGATAAATTACTGATTATCTGTATGTTACAACCAATAGGAGAATAGATTAAGGTTGATGTGCAGACACGCGATCAATCATACACATACAGAAATTAACACAGTGAATGAAGTGTCTGAATTACAGTGAGTAGACAAATAATACAATAGTTGAATGGGCTTGCTACACATACGTCGAGAACAATAAACGACACAACGCTATTAAAGACCCCCCCCCCAAAAGTAGTCGAGAAATTAAAGACTGATCACAGTGATAGGTCAGTTACCCTTCAAAGAATCAAGTAGAAAGAAATCTCTGAACCTAAAACTCGTTCTGAGCCTGGCATTGGATTAATAAAACAGCTACTAAATCAGCTTATGCCACAAGATATCTCCGCAGTCACCCTGCTAAAGGTGTATAGACTAGGTGACCAAACGAACTTGGAATAAAATCAAACCACGCTGCTTAAAGTAGCACTAAAATATCCTAAAGAACAGGACTTACTATTACAGAATGGACACAAACTAAAGGGGTCAGGAGTTTTTGTTCGTAAGGGCTTGCCACTTGTAGACTGTCTAAAAAGACGAGAAGCCGAAAAAAATAAAACTTATGTTAGATGCTGGCAAGAAGGACCTAGAAATCATAATTTTTGGGGTTGTGAAGCTCCGACAGATAATGATGTCGAGGCCACTATGAGTGAATCACGAAGCCATTTAAATAAGCTTCGGATCTGTTACACAAATGCCCAAAGTTTGCGTAATGAGCGGTCGAAACTAGGTGTAAAGATTGACTCTGCCAAGCCAGATATAATCGCAGTCATAGGAACGTAGCTGACACAGCTTGTAAGTAGTATGGAACTTGATTTTGAAGGTTTTATATTGAGAAGAGCCAACATAACCCAGAAGCGTAAAAAGGGGGGAGTGAGTAGCTCTATTCATTAAGAATGCTATCCTATTTGCCACTATCGACAGTGTGTCCCATGAGAGTGAGACATGTGAATTAATTAGCTGCCTCTTGAAATGCAAGGGATAAGAGCTGCTGATTTATTTGGTCTACCGCAGTCCAAGCTGTAAGGTAAATGAGTTCTTGCTATAGTTTCAATACTTGGTCACAAAGTGGTCGATGTTTAATCCTAAGAGACTTTAATGCACCCATGGTTGACTGGGAAGATCCGCGAACTGAATTGCCAGGTAATTCCCCTGAGCAGAAACTAGTTGATGCGGTTGTTGCATGTACCCTAGTATAATATGTGGAAAAAGTGACTGGGTACGACCCGGAATCTGAACCATCCTTACTAGATCTAATATTGACCGATTATAATGATGACGTCACGAACCTAGATTACGTGCCAGCCCTAGGTAAAAGCGGTCATAAAGTTCTAGCCTTTGAATTCCATATAGTTGTCAAAAACGAGCATGCATCAGCTCAATCCAGACCTAACGTCTGGAAAGCAAATATACAAGATACTACACACCCAGTATCGTCAGTATATGAGACAATAGACCCAGAGTCCCGACTTGAAACAGCCCGGGATGTAATTCGAAATTTATACTTAAAGGTTACTGAACCCTACGCTAAGGAGGTCGAGAAACTCTTCATTATGGTTAAATACGGAAGTTCGCACCCTTCTCCGTAAAAAAAGAATGTGGGATAGATTTAGGTTACTGGGGACTGATGAGACAAAATTTCAATATCGAGAAGCTCGGAATATCTGTACCTTGACCCTCTGTAAGTGTAGAAGGCTGTACAAAGAAAAAGTGTTGAGGAGTCTATAGAATGTCTCAAACGTTTGTATTCCTATATAAACCGAAGAACAAAATGAAGAGGAAATACTCCAGCACTATGGGGAGACGTTAATGTTTCATCATTAGTGGAGGACGACTATGGTAAAGCTCAGGTATTCTCAAACTAGTGCTGGAAGAACGACATAGTAAACCCTGTCTTCAAAATAGGTACGAAACATAAACCTGAGAACTACCGATCCGTTAGTCTAACTAGTGTGGTTGTCAAAATTTTAGAAAAAAATATTCGGGAGGGAGCTGTTTAGGCACCTTGACGAAAACCGGATCCTTTTGGAGAAGAAGCACAGTTTCAGAATAGGTTATTCATGTCTCACTAACTTATTAGTCGCTCGTGAAAGCTGGTGCGCTCTTAAGGACCAAAAGTTACCTGTAGACGTAACCTACATTAATTTCAGCAAAGCTTTTGACAAAGTTCCTCACAACCGGCTGTTATATAAGCTAAGAAATGTTGAAGTTGGAGGCAATCTATTAATGTGGATAAAAAACTTCCTAGTTGGGTGCCAACAAAGAGTACGGGTGAACTCATGGTAGTCTAGCTGGGAAACTGTGCTTAGCGCAGTGATGCAGGGTACAATTTCGTGGCCACTGTAGTTCCTTTTATATGTAAATGGCCTTCCTCGTCTCTTATCATTATCGGTTTTGCTATATGCTGACGATGTCAAGATATGGAGAACGATACGATGTAAGGGTGATAGCTTAGAATTCCAAAATGATCTGGAGAAATTATCTGAATGGTTTCAAACTTGGCAGTTGCCGATAAATACTTCCATGTGTATTGTGGTGCATATTGGTCATCAAGGTACAGATAAATACATGATAAATAACATTGAGCTACCTGCTGTACAGACACACAATGACTTAGGAGTCATCAATAACCAAGACTTAAAAACTACTGCCGCCAAAAGTTTTAGAAACCTATAGTCAATACTTTGTGAACAGTATTCGTGCATCCTAAACTTGAGTACTGCATACAAGCGGCTAGCACCTGCTTAAAAGACAGTGGGCCTTTGGAAAAAGTTCAGAGAACAGCAACTATGCTGATTCCTGGAGTAGCAAAGCTCCCGTATGATGCCCGACTGGCTAAACTAAACCTATTCCCGTTGTCATATCGAAGAATTAAAGGTGACTTGATTACAGTTTTTAAATTACTTGGTGATAAATTTGCACCTGATATGCCTTCATTTTCTTTTGTCTTCCACACCAAAAAGTTTACGAGGACACAACAAAAAAGCCCAGAGCAAATTACTTGCCAGCTGACTAGCAGCTTTCCCACCGAATCATCAGCAAGTGGAGTTCAGTACCTTAACAAGTGACTGACGCTCCATCTGTCGACCCTTTCAAACGAAAGTTGGATCAGCTGAAAGACCATCATTGCCAGGACTAACACAGACCATCAAGCCTCCTGTACTTTCCAAACTGAAACTGGTGAATAACCTCTTGCAGATTATTTATGCGGTTACTGTCTTTTGAGGAACAAGGTCTTTTCAAAGTCAAATTAATGTCGTTATTGCTTTTTTAGTAAATGGAAAGCTATGGATAACTACCTAAGAAAAGCATATAGTACATTTTGATAGCTCTGACCGAATAAACAAATACCAGATACTTACAATTTTACAAGCTACGAACACGGTATAGGAAGCAAATATGGATAGAATGTAAGATGATCTATCAAAGACAAAACGCATAATTCTAAATGTGCAGAGGCTAGAGTCAAAAGAAGGTTACTTTGTTATGTTATTAACGAATAAGTAAATGCATCAACAAGCGTACAATTTATGAGTACAAATTCGACACCGTTAAAATAAATGCAATACCTACCACTTTTTGAAACGTATTTCCATTGTGCATCAGGAAAGTCGTATTTTCCAGCTCGAATCTTTGATTTCATACCAGGAGATATGGGTTGGCCATTCTGACTAAAAAATGGCGGACAACCTGAGAGCCTAAACAATATTATCAAATGTAAATTGCTTACAAAATATAGGTTATTATCCCTAGGGACCAGATATCACAGGACTTGTCATATCGTTCGAAATTAAGGATCTCTGGTGCTAGATATAATTATAATCATAAAAAGCATAATGAACCTACGGACATAGTAAGGAGTGTAACATGGTGTTTGAAGAGACTTTTTAGTGACAACTTCTTTCGCAAACCCAAAGTCTGTAAGTTTTAGGATGGCACCATTCTCGTTAGACGTGTAAAGCAAATTTTCCGGCTAAAAATGGATCATTAAAAAAGTTAACTATTACTTTTAGGTCACGGTGTGCTATATTTCTTTCATGAAGATAAGCAATTGCAGAGGATATTTGATACACTATTTTTGCAGCTTCTGCAAAGGTAAAATCAAAAATTTACGAGTTACCGCTTTCCGTAAAATTTTCACATTCTTTAATTTTATTAAATAGTTCACCACCCCTCATATATTCCATTACCATTAAAAGATAGTTCTTTTTAGTGTTCTGGTTTGTGTTTTCAAACACATCTACGACCTTCACGATATGAGGACAGTCTGAGACCCTCCAATGAATTTCAGCCTCTCTTCTTGACTTTTGATTGTCCTCAAGTATCTAGAGTATGAGCTAGCATACCAAATTATAGTACCTTTAAAGCATAATGGACTCCTGTCTCGTTATGAATACATTGCATCACCTTTCCTGTGATTCCCAAGCCAAGTACATTATTTGTGATTGTATATTCTGATGTTATAGTAGATTTTTTCGGAACAAATGGTCTAGACGATAACATTCCAGGCAACAGCAGTAATTTATCACTAAACCTAAAATCGCGGACAAGAAATTGCCTTCATGTACATTGCAGTCTAAGCAACTATGCAAAGAGCGAAAATTATTCATGAATAATTAAAATAGCTCTTTGACTTCGATAACGAAGTATATAATATGGACTATCTATTTCATTGAGAATATAAAAAGACATTGAATCTTTAACCAGGGTTTCAAATGAAAGTGTGTCTGTGCTTCAGTAGCGTCTATTTCTGTCTGCTTTTCTTCTTAATGGATAAATTGAATGCTCATAAGTCAGTTCCTTCATTCGTTAGATCCAACCTTTGATTACTCAACAGGAATTCGTTAGTTATGAGCGTGCCCAAATTATAATGATAAACTCGGAGAAAAATCAGCGATATCACTTCTTGGAATCTCACGCATCACAATGAAGTCATACTAACCTGTGACCAGGTGGCGTAAAAAAGCCTAATATATCAAGCCCATTTTCTTTAAGTAAATCAAGTTCTTCCGAAATTCTTCAAATTTCAGTTCCTAGTATCGTTTTTAAAGGGTTTGAGATATTTCCTAAACAAACACTCGCGGCGTACAGACGATTATACTATTTCGGCAGTTAAAGTAATGAGTTGGGTATTTCCGTATCATGCATCTCTATGAATTTTAAGCACAAAAGAACCACGACTCAATTTGACTTCTGAATAATCATGAGTTAGGACCAGGGACATTACCTAATTTCTCGTTTATTTGACGGTATCCAAGGCGAATACCAAGTGACGGAATATCACGTTCACATAGGCATTGTAGGACAGCTGCCACCATCGCATGGGTATGATCACACACTCACGTGCATCGACCGTTTTACAAGATGGCCCGAAGCAATACCCATCACATCTATCACGGCGGAGACAATTGCTCACCACTTCGTAGAACGATGGATGGCTCTATATGGTTGTCCCTCGACGGTCACGACTGACCGAGAACAACAATTTGAGTCCCCATTATTTTCCTCACTTACTCGGCTGTTTGGTACGGAACGCATACGCACTACCGCCTACCATCCAGCTTCTAATGGTTTAGTTGAAAGGTTTCACCGCCAACTTAAAAGTGCTCTTCGAGCACACGAAAACGACAATTGGTACGAAACCTTACCGCTCGTCCTCTTAGGTGTCAGAACGAGCTCAAAGACAGATATTCAATGTTCCGCCGCTGAACTTGTATACCGCACGACATTGCGTCTGCCCGGAGAATTCTTCACACCACGGAGCAGACCTAATTTCGGTTAATCAGACTACGTCCATCGACTGTCTGCATTTATGCGAACGCTGTCTCCGGTGTCAACTCGAATACAACATCGACAGGTCGCTCTCCCTCGAGAGTTATCTACCTGTACACGTGTTTTCATACGAGTAGATTCGGTACGCAAACCTTGGCAACAACCTTACGAAGGCTCTTTTCACGTGATCGCTCGTCACGAAAAGACCCTCAAGGTTGATTGATATGGACGCGTCGAGATCTTCAGCATTGATTGTCTCAAACCAGCACACATCGATGACAGTGCCCATTCTCATAACCTGAGACTCAATGCTAAGCCTATTAAACCTACTAGCGTGACCTTAAAACTTCTCCAGGTCCCACGCTAGATATACCTGAGACCTCATTCTCACGTCCTGGACAACAGCACGCATCATCTGCACCATCTACGGACGAGACGACAGTCTTACGTCCAGATCAGCAGACCACGCCACCCTTGACTTCGGATGAGATTGCAGGCTCACGCGATACGAACGAGACTACCGTTTCACGTTCCGGCCGTCAAGTACAGCTGCCCATACACTTCCGCGACTAGCCTCACAGTCAACAACCGATACGATATAGGACTATTCCTATACTGCATGCATGCTACACTCTTCTTTTTTGGTTTTATTTATGTATCCTCAGCCACATCTTCAACCATCCCCGTTTGGTACCGTCGACTTCAGTCAACTTTGGCGAAAGCTGGACTGGCCACCCACGCTATAGTCATCGCACTCAGTCGATATTTTGATTTCGAATGTTTGACACATATCTGGTCTTATGCTTGGTCATTATGGTCGATTCTGGTCTCTTGGCTCAACGTGGTTTCGTACTACGTCTGCAGCGTTTCCTGATAAGACCCCTACGAACGCAATCTTCAGATCCTGGCACGCGTTCCTTTGCAATGGTGTTCATTGTCTACCGCGACTCGACGTCACGCTACAAGGTGATGCATCAAGAGCTGAGTGAAGGAAATTTTTCAGAAGTTACTGTAGTTTTTAAAAGTTGTAAAAAGTCTATGAAGCAGTTATTTTGATAAATAGGAGTTTTGTTCCTTGAGCTACAAATCCTCACCATAGCTTACTACCTATACGACGTAAATCATGCCGCCAACCAAGTAGCATTTATTAAACCCATTGTCGAACAAACGACTGGCATATAAATGGTGTTAGAAACAGTTAGGTGTTTAAGAACTTGCATTTTAAACCCCAGAGGACGTCCAAGTAACATCATTAGCAACTTGCGGAACACTATAGTTCTAGTCAAAAGAGCAGACAATATTGTTTTCAAAAGTTTTGAATCTGCAAGTTTGAGCAAAAATTGCATTGTTTCCGGATCCACATTATTTAAAAACGCTGTGATTCGTCTTGCTACTTCAATCGACTCCATTCAATCCTCAGGTAAAGAATCTAGTCTTTTGCGAATGTTTCAGTTGCGAATCTAATGTGAATTATTCAATATGACGTTCATTCACCCCTTATTTCAGAAAGCCTACTTGAAGCTATGTAAGGGGTGGGTCTTTCCTCCAGCCCACTTACGAACTTTCATTACCTCAGTCTCATGTAATCAATAGTTTCTCCTAGGAGTATATTCATGATTGTAGATTCCACTATCCTCGAATCGCTTTCATTCTATTAAACAGTCTCACTAACTTTTGACTTCTTCAGGTTTCAAGGAATTAAACTAGACAGGGGTTTGTCTTCTTTGAAAGTCCTGTTGATAACCTTTGTTCACCTCCCTTAACTACCAATACCCTTTTCGACATTTTTATTTCGTTTTCACTTTCGGATCTACCCACTCATCTGTATTATCTAATTTGTCTACTATGGGGTTTAGCTCAACATACGTGGTACCAGTATATCCACCCAGCAGTAGTGCTTACAGTAATCATACTTCTCTATCATGATTTTTCGAGACTTAATACAATCACGCGTAACGATGTAGTTTACTATGGTGCTTCTTCTTTCAACACACGAACGGTGGTAATTCTAAGTGATTTATCCCGGACCCGTTAACCTTCGGTACGTTTGGACCAATAACAATCTCTAACATGGTTAATCTTGAAACAACTCCCCAACAGAACTCATTTTCCACTCTACATCCATCCACTATACTTAAGGTGGAAGGAATACAACGAAATTTTACTCGCAAAATACTTACACTATGTTGATTCTCCATTAATATTATTTCACCACTCGTAACCTTATCTATAACACATATATGTCTATACTTATCCGCCTACTTTTGTAGACAACTGTCCTACAATATACCATTGTTATAGCATATACTCTGATTGGCAACCTTTACTTAATACTATAGTCAAATAAACCATTGCATCGATGACTTACCCACAGTCCATAACTTTTAACTGCCTGATAAGCTTGTAAAATGGTACTTATAGGAATAGTGTTTTCCAACAAGATGTGAAACACAGAGCAATGTGTGAGATATGATATATATCCAAGAAATAAGCTTAAATGAGCTTAACATCAAAAAAGGAGTGAGGGTGGTGTCACTAACCAGCAAGCATTGGTGGTGAGGGCGATGACTTCAAACCACCCATGTTTGTGGGGCAGAACATTTTCTTTGGATCAGGCTCTTTATGTATGAGAACAAGTCAATCAATCTGTGATATTGAGGTTGTTCTCCTACGCTCACCATTCAGACTCATGTTTCCAATTTTATGCAGGATTAGCTATTCTACTAAAACAACCCATAACATGTTAGCCCGGACTTTTACATTAGGACTATGTGACAGGAATCGGGTGGGGAAAAAAGAGGAAAAATCAGGCAATAAATAACATAGTTATTACTTTTCTTAACACTTTACTCTTTATATGCACTTTCTGTTCTAATAAACAGCCTTCCTTATTCAAACTCTGACTTCCCTTTCTTCATTTGAACTTACTCCACCTTGGTAAATATCACAACTCATTATTCTTTATTACTTCATTCTGTCATCTGGAGCCACTGATCACATTTCATTCTAAATACAATAGGTAGTATGAATTCATTTAAATAATTTATCATATCTCTGTCTCTTACACCACAAAATGTTAAGTATTGTTCATCGTTCATATTCAAGTGCCTTGCTGCTCCTCAGTCTCTCTTTTTTTCAGAATTTTGTTGTGAGGGCACAGCATGGAACTTCTGACATTTGAAACAAACTATAGTCTGTACGTCTATAGACGTACGTGTTTTCACAAAGTCATAGCTCACACTGAATGCTTTACAAGTCTACTTTATAATAACTATGAACTTAAAAAGTTGCATCACATGAATACTTAGCACAACCAAATTCCTAACGTAATTATGCTGAGATCGGATCTAGCGTGTAAAGTGGAAGCGATGCCCCTTTCGGAGAATATTTTGAAAACCACTCAGTATATCTGAAAGAATGAACTGATATTCACTTTTTAAGACTATATTTATTTAACATGCTTACTATGAAGGAATAATGGCGTGTACATACCCTTGCAGAAATATATTATATTATCTGTCTCTCGTGGTCTTGGGACAGATCTTCGTGAAAAGTCTTGTTGAGGAGTTTGGGAACTTCTAAGGCTATGATGAATATTAAGATAACGAGTCAGTGTATGATAGAGGTCTGCAACGTCACTTCATGTTGTTTGAAACTTTTGTTTACAGAGTAAGATTCGACGCTGAGGGGTCTCCAGAAATCAGTAGACAGATGCAGTCAGTTCGCTTGTGACGTTATTTTGAAACGATACAAGGAATGCCTACACTTGTTGTGGAAGTT